GTATTTAGTACTACATTTAGGCTTTTAAAACATTAGCAAAAGGCAAAGGTTGTAACTATATTTTCAGTAGTTTATTTTTTCAATTGACAACAAATACTTGCTTCTAGGAAGTTTCAATTTGGACTAATTCATTAATTAATTAACCTTAGGGGTGGGCAGGGGTGTAGGTTTGAGAGCATTTTGGCACATATTAATCTATACAGTGATACCAACCACTATGCTCTTTCTGGATCACAGCTTCATATTTTGACGTTGTTGCAAAAACCAGCAGGAGACAAGATCGTATCAAGGCCTTTCCTAAACCTGGAATACCAAAAATCAAGACAGTGCTATTTAAAAATAAACTTAGATTTGGCTTGCAGCTTGGTAGGCAGCTCCCACATTTCCACAGAGCAGGAAGGGATTAATACTGTCTCCCTGCAGGCGGGAAGGCAAGTTGCCACCCTTCACTCTATACCTGCCAGTGCAACCCAGGGAGGAAGGAGGGGAGGATGTTTGGATGGATGAAATAAAGAAGAAAGGAATCAGGGCTGGAACTGCACTGCTATGTGGATGGATAATGGATGATGTCTAGGACAGAGATTACCCCAGGGGATGGCCCCAGGTTATGATCAGAGTTGTTAAAAAGAAACACGAAGAGTGGGCTGAGTCTGTTTATTTTTCTGGCAGCAACTGGAGAAGTTTTAACATGATCTTCATTTATCTTTGGGCTTGCTGATTTTGACCATATCTGAGTAATTTAGCAGGTGTGCCCACCACTCCCCTGACTTGTTTTAAATCTTTTTTTTTTTTTTTTTTTCATGCAAATCCATTTATTCCAAGGGAGTTTTTAAAAATCTGGCTCTTGTTACTTGTGATTTTCCCAGGGGTGTTGGGGTGTGTGTCCTGCTTTGGATTCTTTGTGTACGTTTTATGGATCCATACTGAAATAAATTTGGTTTATTATTCCTTGCACACCTTAGTGTGAAAAATGATGGCATGCTTAGGACATTTCAGGGAAGTTTTTGGTCATTTTGGGTGTTGTGCTGAGCTCTTGAATGATTAAAACAGCATCATCTGTGGCAATCTCCACAGAGGAGCTCTTCCCTTGTTATCTAGTTTTTCCTGTCTTAAGAGTGTTTCACAATGAACACTTAATGTGAACAAAAGCGATGCAATCAGGTAAATCGGGCTGCAAAAAGCCTAGGATTACAAGACAGTGATGGCCTGGTTACCTGGGCAGCATGTGAGTAGCTCAGTTACTCGTTTCTTGCGGCAGACGGGGCTGTAGAGCACATAGACATTAAGAAGTAGGCGTGTGCAAATGGGTGCAGCAAACCAGCCAGAGATCTGAAGTGAAATTTCCAGCCCAGTGTCCCAAAAGCCTTCTGAAAGTTTCCTTATTCTGGACTCATTTTCTGAATTCCACAGTATTTCTCCTTCTCCCCTTGAAAGCTGCAGTTTAGCACCTTATTCCTCCCCAGTGCTACAGGAGGATGGAAACACAGCTCCTCTCTTGACAACTGATCTGGATCCAGCCAGATATTAGGATAGATTTCAACCACCATTTCAGTTCAGCTGTTTTGCTCCTTCACTTCCAATAGTGTGGTATTGATATGACTCCAAATTGCTTTCCACCAGCCTTGTGCGTGGTTTCCCAAACAACATTTGACTGTGGCCATTGATTTTGTCTTGGTAATGAAAAGGGTGAGTAGGATCCTTTAAAATACATTCCTTTTTTTTTTTTTTTCCTGTGTTGAAACCAGGCTTGCAGTATGTTTTTATGCCTTGTCAACTGCTTGTAATGTTACATTCTCCTGAGATTGGCTTCATATTTTAAAGTCTGTGTCTGGAGTGCCTTCTGGTTTTTTGCTACTCTGTGGGGAGAGTAGCATCCCAGTGCTGCAGAGTGAGGTGCTTTGAGCAAAGACAGAGTGACAGCCTGCAAGCCCCAAGTTAGGCAGCTTAGTAACCATTCTATATGGTCATAGCTTGTGAAGTTCCTTTGATTTAATGGCTATAGGCCAAAATCTGGAGATGTGCCCCTTGTGTGGGACTCTACAACTTAATTTTTTCTTTTTAGAGATACATACTGAGCACATGCTGCATTGAGCAGAGCAGCATGAAAATGACTGAAAGAAGCACAAAACACATTCTGCAGTAAATTTGGTGAGAAATTATATTGGCCAATATAATTGCTGTGAGTAGATTTGACCTACTTGTATGGCTGCTTCAACTTGGACACTACTTTTTCTACTTATTGAACTTCTTTTTCAGATTTGTGTTCCATGCACATTCATAGCCATGCCCTGGAGTGTTTGCACAAATGATGTTTTAGACATGTAAATCTGACTAATAACACACCCACCCATAGCTGGCAACCAAGCTCTGCAGCCTGACACCAAGGGGATGATCTAATCCCGGGAGGTATCTCTGGTCTGAAGGAAAGCAGGGAGGAAGGGTGGCTTCTCCAGCGAGTGGCTCTTAACTTAGGGCTTTCTTATCGAGTAAAGCACTGGGAGAAGTGTGGTCCTTTTAACAGCCATGTCTGCTTTGTGAAACACCTCCTGTACCATGTCTGCCTGCAGTTCTAACACGCAGTGAATGCCTCCCCCATCTGACACTGCTTTTTCTGGATTTCCAGAGGTCTCTTCCTTTTACATAAATTCATTCAGGTTTATGGATGGGTCAGTTTAGAAATTGAAATTTAATCTTTTCCAAAGATGGCGTTTTCCTGATGCTCTGCCAATTTGTTTACTGCTGATCAGCAATGACTACCTGAAGGGGGAACTGGTGATTTGCTCCAGCAGGCACCTGTGCCATTGTAGGAATTGTCCTCAGCCTCACTAGTTACTGCCAGCTGTGGCAAGGTGGTGTCGGGGGAAAGAAAACCTTGCCAAAAGGTGATCAAGCACATTGTAGGTGCAAATCAGGATACCTCCGTGAAAGTCAGCAGAGTTAAAAATCTCGGGCCTCTGTCATGTCACACCCTCTACTTTCCCTACCCCCCCCCAGATCAGCATCAGAACTAATAGAGAAAACACATAGGTTTTGGTTCAGTTTCCTATTTTCAGATATGACTAATATGAATGTAGAAAGAGGGGAGAATTTGGAAGAATGGACTCATGAGAAAACCAGCATCATCTCTTCCATCATATTTTAAAAATCATGGCAGTGAGGTGAAGTTCCCAACGACTGGAAAAAGGGAAATATAACCCCCATTTTCAAGAAGGGGAAAATAGAAGACCCAGGGAACTACAGACCAGTCAGTCTCACCTTTGTGCCTGGCAGGATCACGAAGCAGATTCTACTGGAAACCATGCTAGGGCACATGAAAGACAACAAGGTGCTTGGTGACAGCCAGCATGGCTTCCCTAAGGGGAAATCCTGCCTGACCAGTTTGGTGGCCTTCCATGATGGGGCTACAGAACTGATGGACAGGGGTAGAGCAGTCGATGTCATCTACCTGGACTTGTGTAAAGCGTTCAACACTGTCCCACACGACATCCTTGTCTCTAAATTGGAGACATCAATTTGATGGATGGACCACTCGGTGGATAAAGAACTGGCTGGATGGCCGCACACAAAGAGTTATGGTCACTGGCTCAATGTCCGGCTGGAGACCAGTAACGAGTGGTGTCCCTCAGGGATCGGTGTTGGGACCGGTCTCATTCAACATCTTCATCACTGACATGGACAGTGGGATTGAGTGTGCACCAAGCTGTGTGGTTTGGTTGATACCTGGAGGGAAGGAATGCCATCCAGAGGGACCTTGACACGCTTGTGAGGTGGGCTGATGTCAACCTTATGAAGTTTAACCATGCCAAGTGCAAGGTCCTACACCTGGGTCGGAGCAATCCCAGGCACAGCTACAGGTTGGGCAGAGAAGAGATTCAGAGCAGCCCTGCGGAGAAGGACTTGGGGGTGTTGGTTGATGAGAAAATGAACATGAGCCAGCTTCAGTGTGTGCTCGCAGCCCAGAAAGCCAACCATGTGCTGGGCTGCATCAAAAGGAGCGTGACCTCTACTGCTCCTCTACTCTGCTCTTGTGAGACCTCACTTGGAGTATTGTGTGCAGTTCTGGTGTCCTAAACATAAGGACATGGAGCTGTTGGAGCATGTCCAGAGGAGGCAATGTGGATGATCAGGGGCCTGGAGCACCTCCTGTACGAAGACAGGCTGAGAAATTTGGGGCTGTTCAGCCTGGAGAAGAGAAAGGGGGCAAGGATGCTGGGGATGGACTCTTCATTAGGGACTGTAGTGGCAGGACAAGGGATAACGGGTTAAAACTTAAACAGTGGAAGTTCAAGATAAATATAAGGAAGAAGTTCTTTCCCGTTAGGATGGTGAGGCACTGGAACGGGTTGCCCAGAGAAGTGGTAAATGCTCCATCCCTGGCAGTGTTCAAGGCCAGGTTGGACAGAGCTTTGAATGACATGGTTTAGTGTGAGGTGTCCCTGTCCATGGCAGGGGTGTTGGAACTAGATGATCTTAAAGTCTTTTCCAACCCAAACCATTCTATGATTCTATGATTCTTGGAAAAATTCCTTCCTTGTCTCTATCAGCAATGGGTTGTCTTGTGACATGAGGTGAGTGTACAACCATCCAGTTTCTAAGAAGGCTCTTATCTAATGCAATTCTGGATCCTTCACTGTTCAAGACAGGTTCAGGTCCTTTTAAAAATCCTGTCAGTCTTTTGCCTTAGCGATTGAGCATCGCTGCTGAAGTTGCACTGCAGTAGGTAAATGCCTGTTTATTTTTTGTTTATGGATTGATGCTGCAGTATCCCAGGTGATATATCCTAGAAAACTGCATAGCTCTGGGAACTTGGCCAGGGGTATAGTGAGCTTTATTTCCCTAGCCATTTCCCTACTTTTCTTGTTTTTCCCTTCATGTGCATTTCTTTTTGGGTTTATGCTCTGAGCAGCAGGCACTGGTGCTGGGTGGGAAGCTGGCCTATGGGATTATGGAGAGGAGGGCTTGGGTGCAGCCTTTGCCTCCCTCCAGGGCTGCTGTAGGTACTCCCTCCAGTGCCCATCCCAGCCTCCTGGCTGGGGTTTGGCAGGGAGAGGCCTCTGCTACATCCCATTCCTGGCAGGTATGTTCTCCCTTAGGGTTCCCAGCGCCTCTAGCTGTGCTAACAAGCCACTGCTTCCCCACCAGCAGGCAATACCAGCCTCAGCACTTTGCCTACCTCCTGTGCAGTAATGCAGAGGAGAAAAGGCTCCCTAGTTTATTTGCTTTTCTTGTGTATTATAGATGCTGTGACACTAAGCCAGACCTCATTTATATGTAACTCACTGCACTTGTCCCTTTAAATTATAAAGGCACACAACTGTCTATAAAATGGCTTAACATGTACCTGTAGTATATAATTAGCATTGCATGGGATCCTCATCTGTTTGTTGATGGGCTAGTACAAACAAGCACAACCTTCCAAATGATGACACCAGGCATGGGCTCTGTCTGGAATCTGCTTCTGTCAGGCATCTAAGCCTCTGTCTGTCGGAGATGAGGTGGACCGAAGCAAGCTCTTGTTGCCATTGTGATTAACACAGAGCCCCACACATCTGAGTACTCCTAGGGATGTCTTGTTTTCCTTGCAGACATGTCTTACAGGCAGAGCCTTAGGTTTTTTATGCTGGCCCAGGTTTTCTAGCCAGTTGGTAGCCCTGCTGAGCACAGATTAGCTACCTGGCATGTGCACAGCCAGCCTGAAAGTCCTGGGGATTTCCGACAGTTTTGTTCTGCTTGTGTAAATGATAGTATGGTAAGTCTGGAGTGCCCAGGATTGTGGCTTTGCCATGCTCACTCATGTTATTCAATGAAGGCAAGCATACATACTCTCAGATCTACTGAACATACACAGAACTGTGCAGAGTCAGTCTGGATGCTTCCTGAAATGCTGGGTTTGTAACACATGGTCTATAGAGCTCATTTACACATATCTCCATCTGGGAAATCCCAGAGAAAGGGTTATGGCAGCCTGACTATTAAATTAATTTAATTTTCTTTCCTTAAGGGCATCTCCATTTAACAGCAGTCACAGTTTTATCCTCTGAAAAGAAATTCTGAAGTTACGCTTAGCTAACCCTAATTATTTGTCAATTTATGTTTGCATCCTCCTGTGACCCATCTTCAGAGCACCTGATATGAGCCTGCTCTCAGGACTCAGGAGTACCACCAAGAACCCAAAGGTAAAGGCTTTTCTGGTTCTGTTCCTCATTCATATCTACTACTTCTGCTACTACACTTTGTTTTCTTCTTGAATTTAGTGGACTGATTGGCAGGCTGTCTACAAGTCTAGCAGAGCCAGACTTAGGTGGGATGCTGCTAGAAGTGGACACTTGACCCTGCCCTAAATGGGGAGTCACTTGTGAGGCGAAGCTTGCATGGTGACCTCAAATGGTGTGGTGCCACCATGAACAACAACACAGGGAAGCTCATCACCTCATTGTACATGTGAGCCTGAGGAAATTGGACTGTTTCCAGTATTAAATATAACATGGGTGAATTCAAGGGTGTGTGTCATGTCACGCAACACAGAGCATGAATCAGATCATGAAGCAGTGGGAGGAAAAGCCCCTGTGGGTGCCTTTGAGAAGCAGCTCCTGGGGGACCTGTATGCGAATGCAGTTCCGGGCTGAGGTGCAGCATGTGATGAAATTAGGTTGCCCAAGGGCAAAGTGGGCAGTCCTAGGTCTTTCTAGGTGTGTTGGGGTAGGTAGAGCGCCTTGTCTGCGTGTTTGTGCATGTATAGATGAGTACATAGATTTACATGGGCTCCAATAATTTGGAAGGGGCTGTGTGTGTGCATGGTGTGGCAGGGGTCAACCCTTGGTGAGTATGGGAGATACACAGCAAGAAATTCCTAGGTATATCGTGGGAGATCCCCAAGGAAAGTGGGATTTCTTCTTGCCAGAGGAGATGGGGCTTCCTGCTGAACAGCCTCACTCTCAGTGCAGGAAGGAAGGGGATGTGGTCGTCATAGGAGAGGTGGCACCTTCTCCCACCTGTCAGACGGAAATGGGAGCTCAGCCTTTGTTTGGGCTGTGTGTTTAGATTTCAGGCTTTGCAGGCAGGCACTGTCCCTCACTGTTTGTCTATCCTTGGCCAGGTAAGTCCAGATGTAAGCCAGGGCATGCAGGTGCCTGTGCAATACTAATGAGCAATAACAGGAAAAATATTCAGTACTCTCTACAGCAACTGCTGGCTACACAGTCAGGTGCGCTCACAGAAGAACAAGATGAGTGGGAAGGTAATTCTGTTTGTGTATGAAGGAAGGGGTGTGAGTGCCCCCCACTCGGCCATTGTGTGCGTGAACAGTTTCTGGAGGCAGCTGAATGAGATTTGACCAGTGACTAAATCACAGTATGGCGGTGTTTGTAGAACAATGGGGGCACCTGTGAATTGGTTTCTAAGGGTCCCTGTAATAGGAGAAGTTTTTAAAACACTGGAGAGTTTATATCTGAAAGGATGAGAGGGGGTGGAAGTTTGGCTGAAGAGCAAAAGTGGAAGTAAGGAGGTTTAGGAGCCCGGTCACCTGGACACAGTCAGGGTATCATTTCCTCCTCTGAGCCGTGGTTCTACAAAAACTAGTCAGCTTTATACATCTGAGATACCAGGTCAATTAGATTCATGATATACTTGAAGGGAGCATGAACTCTTGGCAGGAGGAACTCCAAGCCCTTACTTGCAATGGCCTTCAAGGGCAAGTAATTACACTTTGCTCAGTTTATATGTCAATATTTCACAGAATTAATGAGATAGCTCTTTACTGAGTGTATTGGTACTCTTGTCCTTTAGGTTAACTCAGGGGAGGGCTGATTACCTCTCCTCCCAAAAGTTCAAATTCCCCAATACTATTAGAAGGGTCTTTATTTCTCTTCAAGCTAAGCTGAAGTGGTATGAATTCAGTGAATTACAATAAGTGAGACACTCCTTAGTGCTATTTTCACTCGCTCTTTGGATTAGATCAAGTTGCCCTTTCCTTTGAAATGAAAGTAATCCATTTTTATGTGTTTGTTGCACTCTCTGTGCTACTAACAGGAGAAAATCAATATCAGGGCAGTCAGTCATTTTGGTGTTGTGATTATTATGGCTAATACACTATATTCTATTATTGAGGGAGTTTGGAGATGTGGATTCTTTAGATGCTGATGATAGAGGGCTCTTGAGATAAAAGGTGAGAAGCAAAACAGCAGAAATGAGGGAAAATAAGTCAATTAAAGTCAGGTGCTGGCATTATTTGACATATTTTTTAGAAGTAGTTTTTTGATCAAGTGCATTTGGGCACTGCTGATAGCATTAATTCTGTTCTGTTCTTCAAACACACATATATTCATCCATCTTAAATTTTATTTTGAATCTATGTGCACTGATCTGTTGTCAGATTGAAGATGTGCTCATTAAAAGAACTAAAAATCCACTTAACTCTCTGTGAAGGGCAACTGATAGCCTCAATTCACTGGAACCATCTGGAATGTCATTCCCCATCTTGCCATCTCAGAGGAAGCTTTGTTGTTTTTAGAAATTTATCAGGCAATAAGTAATTGACTTAATGTCTTTTAATCTAGATACTGAATGGACCCTATCTGGGCCCTTTTCATTTTGATCTCACAGCCTGGGTGTGGGACCTCGTTTCTTTCTTGTAACTTGATTTCTCCTGGGCTGGTGGGATGTGTGTGATAAGTCCCAACTTGACCTAGGGGGCTGCCCACTCATCTTTATTGCAAAAAATAAAATCTGGTCACATTTCCCTACATTATCTGCTCCCCAACAGTGACAACATTTCAGGGTGCTACAGAATGATGTACTGCACTGACTATTCCAGTTATGTCTGCTGTGTAATTGTAAGAGTCAAAAAAAATACCCAAAACCAAAAAATCTACACCTGAATTCAGAATTCCTTGGGTGGAGAAGCAGCTTGGAATTCAAGATTCTCATAAAACCAGTAAAGATGCCATAATGCATTGCAGTGGTGCTCCTTTACATTGCTGTTATTAATCAGCTCTGTCTTTTCCTTATTCTTTTTCATACACTCATTGTGTTTTCCCTTCCCTTTCCTCACAGGTTTGCTCCCTACAGCTGTAGGAGCCACACAATGAGATAGAGTCAAGAGGAGGTTAGATCAGGGGAGCGCTAGCATTACAGGTAGCACAAGAATTAGTTGTAACCCATCACTGGATATGAAGTGATTCAACATGATGAGTGTGAGTAGTGGCCCACCATGACAAAGTGGAGGAGGTAAGGAAAGAGATGGCAATAGGACTAGGAAGTCTTGCAGTTTGGGTGAGTATACTTGTTCTTGGATCAGTTAAAAGTCCTTTCAAAACTATAGTTACTGGTGACATACTTCTCTGGTGGAAAAGCAGAGCCTCCTGAAGGGTTTTGGAGAAAAAACCATGGTAATTGCCATGATCTACCCATAGCAGGGAGTTCTTCCAGGAGTAACAGGTGAAATGGAAATGCAAAGGCTGGTTGTCTTCAACCAGTGACATTCGCAGGCCAAAACTATTGCTGTACAAGGCACTCTGCAGAAACCAAATTAGTACAGTGGCAACTTTCTTCTGTTTTGTGCAGAAAAAAACCCCACAGGTTATGATTCAATTTCTGTCTTGGATTAAAGCAGATGGCCCAGGTTTGAACAGGTATATAACTTTTTTAAAATCACAGTCACTTCTCTACATTTGTTTCTTCTTTCAGGAGGCTGGAAACTGGATGTGAATTCCAGGGAAAGGGTTAAGAGTATCAGGAGATTGTCAGCCATTGGTCTGTCTGCCTTTAAAACAAGGTGCTGGAGGGCATATCTTAACTTGACATGTTGCATTGTTAATTTACAGTTTGGGTGTGGAGGGACCTGCCTTCCCTTCTTTGTAATCTACGCAGGTGTGCATAGGACTTCAAAGGCAGTTGCAGTGGAGCTTATGTCTGTGAGAAAGCCTCGCTGAACAAAAATGTGCTAAGAGGTTTGAACCCCAGCTCCCTTGTGCAACTGCCTGCAAGTCCTGGATTTCTGCGGGACGGGGTTTTATCCCTTCTCTGCAGACCACCAGCCCCTTCTGCAGATTTTAGGTCTTTTGCTACAGTGAGATTGTTAAATGATCTTTAATAATGTGTTTGAAATCACACAAGCAAACTAGTCACTTGCTCTATTTTTATTTTTTTTACTCTGCTTCCAGATCACTCCTGAAACACTGGATTTCTGCCAATGTTTTAATCAGCGGTATTTTGAGGCATCTCTGAGGAGGGAGTTTAAAGCCAAAAACCGGTCACAGCCTTTTCACACTGGGAATTCACTATTGATGATTTGTCACACGAAACTGGGCAGCTAAAAGCTACTCTGCTGGTCTGGACTGGTTGGCTAAAGCTCTTTAAACCTAGAATAACTCATATGAACATAAACAGCCCATAGTGGGTGGTGCAGCACAAGTGCTCAAGCTTCTCCAGACCCTGTGTGCAGTTATTTGTAGGAACTGGACCCACAGTTTTGCTCACACAGGCATTTACACACAGGTACCTAACCATTGACATTTCGCAGTTGAGCAGAGCAGAGATCAGTCTACCGCATTTTCTCTCCTGCAAGCTGGAGGGAAGAGATTTCAGCTCTGTATTCAGAAATCCTAAGCTTCCCTCCACCCCCCCTCCCCATTTTTGACTTCAGTATAGAAAAGTTACAATGAAATTAAACATGTCAGTAAAATTGAACCTCACAAATATTTCATGATTAATTTAATGGCTCCAGTACTTCATTGTTGCTTATTATTGTGGTCACAATTATGGAAAGAATAAAGTGATTGATTCCTTATGGCTCTGCTTTTTTTTTGGTGGTTTGTTTTACAGCTTTATCTGTCCATTTTATGTTTTCACTTATCAATTTTTATGGACCTCCCTAAACAAAATTCAACATTGTTGTACAGGAGAGGGTACCAGAGCTATGGTTGTGCAGCAGAGAACATTACTCTTTGTCAGCAGTTTTTGACATCTGGCTTTGGTCTGATGCAGAATGAGACTTGTACCTTTCAAATGCTTTTGGGGAAATGCACAAGAGTAGCAGTGTCTGAGGTCTCACAAGGCTGGTACATTCTCATGCTCTGTGTATGACTGGGGAGGCACAAAGCATCCAAAAACTGCCTGTGAAATGCTTCCTGGATCCAGCTGTTGCTAATGCCTGGCTGCAGAAATAGCTGGGAGCTGGCAGGAGTTGCCAGTATTTTTAATTAAAATGTGTGTAGCTATAACAGTAAAATTATGAGTTTGTAGAACAATTGTTTTATATAACTATATTTATATAGTCTTTCTGCAGTTCCCCTCATCTCCTAACTGCCAAAGACTAATGGAATACAGAATGGCCTGGGATTTTTTGCTTTGCTTGTTTTTCAGAGGTCATGAATCTCTTGTAAAAATGATATGCTAGTGTTTGCAGCCATCTTTTGGGACAGAAGAGGTCCGAACTGAACTTCTGGGTATTGCACATTCAAACACATGGGCTTTTCCTTGCCTAGGGAAGGAATTAAAGCCTGTGATATTTGTATCCTGGGTGACTATTCAGTGTACCAAGCTATTAAGTCTCTCCTGTAGAAGCAGTTCCATTTTGAGCCTGGAGAAAAGAAGGCTGCGTGGAGACCTCATAGCAGCCTTCCAGTATCTGAAGGGGGCCTATAGGGATGCTGGAGAGGGACTTTTCATTAGAGACTGTAGTGATAGGACAAGGGGTAACAGGTTAAAACTTAAACAGGGGAAGTTTAGATTGGATATAAGGAGGAAATTCTTTCCTGTTAGGGTGGTAAGGCACTGGAATGGGTTGCCCAGGGAGGTTGTGAATGCTCCATCCCTGGCAGTGTTCAAGACCAGGTTGGACGAGGCCTTGGGTGATATGATTTAGCGTAAGGTGTCCCTGCCCATGGCAGGGGGGTTGGAACTTGATGATTTTAAGGTCCTTTCCAACCCTAACTATTCTATGATTCTATGATTCATTAGGCAGAAAGAGAGAGGAGTTGCTCTTTCACCAGCATTCAAACATAAAATGCCCCTGAAGCCTCTGCTGTTAATATTCACGCCATTACTCTTGAATGGGACTGATGAACAGAGTCCTTGATATACCCTTATATATCTTATATACCCCTTATATATCTTGTATACCCCTGTATATCTTATATAGTATGCCTTATTCTTGTAATGGTGTTCTTACTGTCTTTAAATCTTTGGAGAGTTTACAGGCATTGCATCATGCTAAATAGGTTTGAGAATGTGGTTTCTGTGAGTGGGAGCTTAAATCAGTGACCAGCTTCTTGTGGAATTCTGTGGAAGCCTTAAAGGTGGTCAAGAGCTGAGTTTTAAGTGGAAACTTGGCATGGAAAACAGAGCCCATGAAGATGAAATGACAGCCTCAGAGGATGCAGATGATATCACTGAACTGGTCCAGGACAAGAAAAGACTGCCTAGAAAGATGGCTAAAGTGAAACTAAACTGTGGAGTTGGCTCCGTAGCTTGGTCTTTTGGGGGACTTCAGTTTATCACAAACTCTGCACATAAATGGAGCAGATGTCCAAGGAGTGAGAGATGGCAGCTGGCTCCCAGGGATGTGTGTGCACAGCCCACTGGGAGAGTGCCCAGGCTCCAATTGTGCATGTTCTTATCTGTTACTGTCTGCTGGGGTGTCAGATGAACACAAGTTGTCTCTTTTTAAAGGAACAGTGCAGTGGGAAAGACTCTGTGACCTTTACAGAGAAAAATACTTGCAAGTCACTGACTTTTTTAAGAGCTTCAGAAAAATTAATCTAGAACAAAACTCAGAAAGGTAAGAGGGGAGTTAAGAGGAAGGTATAGAAGAAAATAAATGTGGTGAGAGAAACCAAGAGAGAAAAGAACAAAAAGGAAATTAATTTTAACAACTACAGGTCATTTACTCCCCAGATGTTACCTATATATACCAGAGCTGTAAAGCTAATAGCCTTTTTGCTGAAACAGGTTACAGGTTCTTCTGTCCAGTCATTGCTAACTGGCTTCTAAATATGAAGACCAGACAGGATATGAAGCTACAATTAAAAATAAGACTAAATTTAATCATGGCAAGCAGAGACATTAACATTTGTTTTTGAGTTTGTAGCTGAGATGAAGAAAAAGCATGTGTCTCTTTCTCTTTCTGTGCATTCAGAGATCCCAGAAGTCCTAGCTGAGGCAGCAGAGAGCAGGAAGAGAAATAGTAAAGCCGGTGAGAAAAGGTAACAAGAAAATTTATGAAGGGAGACAAACATGAAGCACCTTTTGAATGGGATTCTGGGCTGAAGAGAGAGCAGTACACTGTGAACGTGTCAGCAGAACTTTTCCGTGCCTTCATATCCATATACATACCAGGGAGCACAGCCTTTGGGGATTTGGGAAGGGAATTTCAGTATGAAAGTTGAGTGGAGATAAAGATGTAGGTGGAGAACACTGGAGGAGGTAAAATCAACGTGACATACTACCGGGGATGGATGACAGGGGTGGGTGGACTGGTCCCGGGGAATCTGCCCTTTAGCTCATTTCCACTCTATTTCAAGGCATGCCCAGTGGTGTGGTGGGCCCCGCTGATCTCAGCAGTTCCAAGGACACTGAGCACATGTGGCCATGGCTGATTAGAGTATCTCAGAAGATGAGTGTCTTCCTTGGGTGCATTATTTATTCCTCTGCTCACCAGCAGCTGCACACAGATCAGAGGGAGTCAAGCACATCTCCCCATGGAGCAATGCCCATCTTTCTTTGTAATTCCCTGGGGTGAACAGCACTTTGGGGTTACCATCCTGCTTGCCGCCCTCTCGCAGGAGCTCCTCCATCTCTGCCTGTGTAGGCCACTGCTGTCTAGGCCCCCCAGCTAGGATCAACCCAGGCACATCTGTACCTAAAAATAATTTACAGATGTTGTTCATGACCCACGAGGTTTTCTGAAAGATTTTGCAGACAAAAATCAGCAGTGGGTGATGACAATACATGGAATAATATTAAAGTTATAGACACAATTTCCCACTTAGAAGCTAGGAAGATGATATGCTTCTAAAACATTTAACAGGACACTGTCCTCTTTGCTGTGACTAGCCTGCCTGTGGAATGTGTTTTCATAAGGTGCACAGCTATGTCAGATGGGAAACTTATTTTAGTACTCAGTTTCCTTTGTGTGACCCGTTTCACCATTTGGGAATTGGCTATGTGTGAAGATACGAAACGCAAAATGAAGTGCATTAGAGGAACAGCAAAACCTGAGATCTTCTCCAGGCTTCCCTCATGGATGTGGGTAATGTGGGACTTGGTGGTTGGGAGATGCAATGCTCAGCCTTGCTTTTGTTCATGGTGGCAGAATGTGGGATATTTTGTTTCTGAGTGAGAATGTCTTGATGAAGGAGCAAAATCTTCCATCAGAGGCAACTAGGTTTAAGAAAAAAAAACAACAAAGCAACAACAAAACCCAAAACTGAATAATAGGATAATTACCCAAAGCTAATTTTCCAGGGGGAGAAATAAAATAAAACAGATTTTTTTTTGAGCAATTTTGGGTACCACGAGTCAAAATGAACAGAATACTTGTCTGTTTTTCAGAATGTAATTTTCAGAAATTAGGCATAAATTAGGAGCCTAAAATCAGAATTAAAGACCTCAGTGTTTTGTCTGATATGGGTCTATAAACATAAAATCATAAACAGACAATTGCAGAGACACTCCTGACTCTGTGCTAGGGAGACTCGTTTCCCCTTTATCTCTGCTGGCTTCACTGTTCTTACTGCACTTCAAGCATCCTGCAAAATGGCATGGTCGAACTGAAGCACTTTCAGAGAGCACACAGGTGCCTTGACCACAGTTGTCTCACCACAGCCCTGGTCCCTACTGTCTGATTGAGCTCAATCTAATTCTAAGCCTTGTTTAAATAGTAACCCCTGATTTACTGTATTTGATTCCCATGGACCTAATATCTCCTCTGGCTTGCATGCTGCAACATCTTTCCAGTGTGCTGACGGTTTTCACCCAGCTGTAGCTGGTGGCATGCTTACAGAGATGGAAGAATTAATCTGGCGCTTAGTTTTTGACTCTGCCTTCTAATTCCTTTCTGTGAACTTGTCCATGACTTGGATGCATGCCACAGCCGTACAAATGGGAATGAAATATAATAGATTTCTCTTAAGAAAAATGCTTTATTCTAACATAAGAGGCTGGGTTCTTAACTACCTCTGCATCAAACACTTTATGATTTAAGTGGAAATTGGGACTTGCTTCTAGTCCCAGCTCTTGGGAAATTTTTGTTTTAAAGGTTTTTATTATTATTCTCTAGCTTTCCTTCCATGCCTTATCCAGTTATCTTAGAGCTTTGTGTTGCTGATAACTGTGAAGTCATGGTTGCTCCAAAATGTGACTTTTTACTTGCTTCCATTTGTACCATGTTGGAAAACCAGACAAAAACTGCCTTTTCTCACAACAAGGGACTGAATGGACTCCTTGGGATCTCTGCAAGGTGCCCCTTTTGCTGTGGCATATGCAGGTATGCACTCACCTCCTGAGGACCCTGGGCCACAGTTTCCTCCAGCCAGGACTGCTCAGCCAAGGAAAAGGTGAACTCATCATGGGCATGCAGACCTTAAAGAATGCCCAGGGAAAACATGGTACTATTGCAGTCTACATACCTGTCTACCAGCTCTAAGTACCTACCAGAACTAGCCAAGCAAAAACCACTTTAGGAAGGTTTTTCCTACTGAATTCTGCACCTTGAAGATAATAACATACGAAATATCAACAATAAAAAGTACACATCACAACAGCAACTCATAAAGCTTATTCAAATGGAA